AGCACCAGCTGCAGTCTGCCAGCGCCGCCAACAGGGCAACGAAACGCCAAGTGTTGCCTCTGTGGAGAAGGCCACCCCGCCAACTACAAGGGATGTAGTAAGGCCCCGAAGAAAGCTGCTTCTGTCCCCAAAGCAGACCCCACCACAAATAGGACTTCTTACGCTCAAAAAGCGAAGAAACCTATGTCCACTTCTGCCCCAGCAGCCGCCACTGCTACTGGAACTACTGCGCAGAAGCAACACGGCGATGACAGACTGCTAGCAATGATGCAAGCCATCATAACCCGCCTGGATGCACTCGAGGCCAAGATGCAAGAAAAGCATTAGACCCGAAATGACTACAGGGCAAAACGTAGAATCTCTACGCATTATCTCCTGGAACATCAACGGATTCAGGGCACGGAAACCAGAAATCCAGGAGATACTAGACTAGTACCAACCAGAGGTGATGGCCATCCAAGAAACGAAATTGGATGCTGCCCATAGTCTGACGTTCCCGCGGTACGAGACGTACCGCTACGACAGAAGAAGCAGAGGTGGAGGAGTCGCATTACTCGTCAAACGTACCTTGACGAGTCATGTCCTCGACGATGCCGCAGACATCAATGGGGACGGAATCACGGTCCAGGTTCATCACAACCACCAGGGGGGGCCCTAGACGAAGATGACATCGCTGACCTCCTGAGAGGCCCAGGAGCACGCATAGTCATCGGAGATCTAAACTGCAACTCTCCGGCATGGAACAACAACGTCGAAGACAGGAATGCAAGGCAGCTCCAAGAACACGTCGATGCCCTGGCGGGGGTCATCGTCGGTCCGGAGCAACCAACCTACATTCCATTCGGCCTCGGGCGACCTGCGGTACTGGACATAGCCATCCTCCGCAACATCAGAGAGGAGTTCGAGATAGAGACCCTGGTGGAAGGATCGTCAGACCACAATCCGATTCTACTAACACTTGGCACAGGGTCTAGAACTCGAGATAGCTTGAGCACCAAACGGACGAACTGGAACCTGTACAAATCCAACGTCCAAAGGAACATCACTCAAATTCCAACCATCCGATCAGCGGAGGAACTGGACAACGCGGTAGTGGAGCTGGAGAATGCTGTCCTGCGAGCGCACGAGGACAGCACCCGCTCCGAGACTACGGCAGTTCCTAGACACCTAAATGGTCCAGCACCGCACCATATTAGGCACCTGATCAGGGAGAACAGAAGACTCAAGCGAGAACATCTCCAGCTGTTGACAGAGGAGTCGAGAGTTGCGCGAAACAGAGCATCGCTAGCTCTGAAGAACGCACTCGCGGAACTCCAAAACAGCAGATGGAATGCAGCCTGTGCAGAACTAGAGACCCAGGATGGTACAGCCTGGAATATGCAGCGAAAATTCCGTCGTCAGCGCACCACGATCCCCACTCTTCACGGCCAACGCGGCTTGGCCTACTCCAGTGAAGAAAAAGCCGAAGTATTCGCAGATTCGCTAGAATCCGAATGCAGACTCAATTACCATGAAGACGAGGACGACAACCACGAGGAGGCCGTGGAAGTCGCAGCCGAAAGCATGAGGAGTCGACCACCTGGCCAGGAGACGGATCACCCCTCCAGTCCAGAGGAAATCCGTCTGATCATCCGCAGGTTGAAGGTCAGAAAGGCGCCGGGAAGGGACGGCATCAACAATAGGATGCTGAAGAACCTTCCCACCAAAGGCATTGCTGCGCTCACCAACATCGCCAATGCCACTCTGAGACTTAACCACTTCCCGCGGCGGTGGCGGGAAGCCCAGGTTATAATGCTCACCAAGCCAGGCAAGGACCGGAAGTTGCCCCAGAACTACCGGCCCATCAGCCTGGTTTCCTCGATGGGCAAAGTAGTCGAAAAGGCTATCGCCGTTCGACTAGAGAAGCAGGCAGAAGAACTGCAACTTCTCCCCCCAGAGCAATTCGGCTTCAGATCCTCCCACAACACGGAACTCCAAGCGCTACGACTGACGGAAAACATCACCAGCGGCTTCAATCTCCAGGAGGCAACCGGTCTCGTCCTGCTGGACGTGGAACGAGCCTTCGACCGAGTTTGGCACGATGGACTCATCGCCAAAATGGAAGCCGCCGGAATCGATGCGAACATGTGCCAACTGATCCAGAGCTATCTAACACAAAGATGGTTCACGGTGAAGATTGGTACATGCCATTCAACAAGACGACAGCTGGAAGCAGGCGTGCCCCAGGGGTCAGCCTTAGCCCCCCTGCTCTACAACATCTATACTCACGATGTGCCGAAGACAGCTGACACAATGCTGGCCCTATATGCAGACGACACTGCTATAGCCGCCAAGCATAGACGACCCGAGATCATCCGTAGGAGACTACAGGATGAACTGGACCACATCCAGGACTGGTGTGTGAAATGGAAAATCCGCATCAACGTCCAGAAGACGCAGACAATCTTCATTCAACGAAGAAGGATTGCAAGACCTCTCGAAGCATCCATCTTCGACGAAGATATCCAGTGGAGCGACAAAGTCAAATATCTGGGGATCGTATTTGACAAGTCCCTCACCTGGAAAGCCCACATAGAAGCTGTCATCGCAAAGACCAGAGCAGCCATGGCTCAACTCTATCCATTACTGGGTAGACACAGCCAGATGCCGTTAGCGACCAAGCTACGGCTGATCAAGGCCATCGCCAGACCTCAGCTCGCTTACGCCTCCGCGGTCTGGGGGTACGCTGCCCCCAGCTACCGCAAGCGACTTGCTGCTCTAGAGATGAAGCTACTCCGGATCGCCACCAGTGCACCATCCTACGTAAGAAACTCAACCTTGCGTAGAGACCTGCATAGGGACACCATCCACGAGTACATGAGGAAAAAAGCGGAGAAGACCTTCGAAAAAGCTCAGGACCACCCGAACGAGCAGCTACGATTCCTCATGGACTACGATCCGGACGAGAGGCCTCGCAACCGCAGAACCAGGTACCCCAGACCAAGGTCCCAGTTGGCACCCGCTAACTGGAACCTTGACTAGGAGAATAGGAGAACCCGCGGTTGCTCCCCCCCCCCCCCCCACGGCGTGGATGCAGAGGACCAGGAACCACCGGGACCAGGACCAACCAGGACCAGGACCCGCCACGACCAGGACCCACTAGGACCAGGACCCTTCAGGACCAGGACCAGGAACAACATATTGGTAAGAGGACTTGAAACTCTTGATTTTTCGAAAACAAGAGTTTCAAGAGAACCAGCAGACCCTCTATCGATGATCGCTTAACGACATCGATAGAATGTGCGAGGTAAAGGGAACCAACCCGGCGTTCCCAGAGACTGAAACACATGAGGAGACGTTGTAGCAGACCGCAGGTCACGCACAACACATGGCCTACCGAGACGCTGATGAGTCAGGCCACGCGGAGGTTTAGGGTTTATTGGGTATTAGGTGATCTCCTCAAGACCCTGGAGTCCCACACACGCCGTAGCTCGGGCTATGGTATGGTGCGTAAATGCATTCCCCCCTCACCAAAAAAAAAAAAAATAATAATTCTTTAGTGTATATTGGCCAAAGCTCACCAAAGACACCATCAGGTAGTCGTTCAAAATGTTTGATAAAGTTTGACTTTGTTGACAGTAGCAATTAGTTTAAAAAAATATGAGGTAGTATAGGCAAATATGTTGGGTATAAGTAATATAAAGGTTCAGATTGAAACTGGGTTAGGAAAATGCAGCAGGTAAAGTTGTTTTGACAAAAATCATGTTCCACTTGATATTGACCATTATATGTATCTTTCCAGAAGCAGTACACCCCCTTTGGTTTGACAAGATGTCGATGCATTATGCTTCATTGCGTTGGCCTGATTCAGAGGATCTACGTACAGCTATCACGAGATTAGTGTGCCAGTTAACGGATTTGATGCATGACGCTGAACATTCAACAAACTACAATACTAATACTTGTTGGGATGATAACGAGGTTGAAAGGATCAGGAGACTAATTCGGAAATACGAGGAAGGGCAGAGTTGTGTGCGTAGTATCTACAAGAAGATTGTACTATTGAGCAGTTTTGTAGTGATATGATTAATTATAACCTTAGATCATTTCCGTGTGAGATTGCAAGGTATTTTCCTCCGGAAATTATCCTCAAATATAACCTCGTGTATGAGGATTGAACACTATTTATTTAGTTTGCTATAGGATTATACAATGCATTCTTATTAAATAAATACCTGACATATTGAGTTGTTGTTATTTCATTGAAGAACATCAACGCATAAATACATGAATACATTATATTGTAATGCCTTAAAATTTTTCCAACAACTGAGTCAAGGCGATCAAAGAAATGTTAGTTTCCGACAGATGTGTGCAACCTTCTGGAAATTTTCAAATTTCACATTAAAGATAACGATAGCTGAAGATACACAACGTACAAATTGTATACACTAACAATGATGAATGGGGTGAGGCTTGCCCAATACAATGCCTGTGATAGAAAGTCACTCCTCTGTGATACATATATATATATATATATATATATATATATAGCATGACAGGGCAAGCTCGATTGTGCGTTCAGGAATTCTTCTCATAATATGCTTCCGACTATTCGACAACATCCACACAAGATAAAATAGAAATGGCTGCTGGTGAAAGAAGGGACTTTTTCACTTTTAAAAGCAAACTACATGATGTGTACATGAAGGTGAAAAATATGGTTGCTCTAGCACATCGTGATGATAAAAGGTTTATTATTCCTAACACCACAAAGACTTTACCTTGGGGACACAGAGTTTTACCAGACTGACCCCTCGTTGAATATTAAATAAGCTATAGTTGCAATCAATGATATTGCAGAAGGCACTTTTCCTGAAAATGGTGATTTATAATTAATAATAAAATTAATGTTAGAGGAAGTTTGTAAGTATTAGATTTAGGTTACGTCAAGCTTGTACAGGTAAATAAAATCAACATGTAGTAAGATAATGAGTTTTCTTTCTCCCTTACAAAAACATTTAATAGGAATGAATAAGTCCATTTTGGATAGAACCATCAAAAGCATTGTAACTGAAACATGAGTAATTAATAACTAATGCGTACACCTTGGTGTGGAATGGAAGTGCAGTTTTCCTGGTCTCAAATTCCAAAGATATGTCGACAGTTGAAAGTTGTAGATGATCAGGCTGGTGACTGCAATCAATAACGAAAAGCGAATTGTCATTAAATTTTTTAATATCCATCATAGGTTCAGAAATGTTCCGGTTGTAGTATGTTTTTTGAAAGCTCTCAAATTCATAATATGCTGCGGTGTTGAGCTTTTTTTCGAAATTCAAGTTCCTCCTTTCATATGGGAATACTTGGTTGTTCAACTTCAAGCGAATCGAGTTAACGTTGGCATTTATGAATTTCGTTATATCCATCGAATGATTTTCTTCAACTGTAGAATCTTGAAATCCAATGATAACGAATAGAGGTCTCTCTAGTTTACTGGTTGTTCTAATTGCCCAAGCATCCGATGATGTAGAACGAAGAGATGGAAGCTCATAGAGATCCCAAGATCGAAATGCTACCTTGATCCTTGAGCTCACATGTTTATTCAACCTTTGCAGAATCTTGACTTTGTAACGATCTTCTGGAACGATGTGTTGAACCTTCCATTCAATCTTAAATATAGTCAATTCAGCATCACATTCACCCACATAACAGTTTTTGAAGGATCTTGCAATAACCAACAGAAACTCATGTTTTATATTTAGAACCCCTTTTTTGTAGTTTTCTGCAAATCCCATTATACCACTAAAAACTTTGCATATAGCTGAGGTCTCGGCACTTGAGGTCCAACCACTACATAAAAGTGCATGGATAGCACTTTTACCATGTGACACCATCGTTTTCATAGTTGAAGTTATCCCTGGATTCCGAACTCCATAAATTTTTTCGCCACCCATCTGTAGGGAAATTTCTTCAAATAAAAAGGCCAATGCATTGTTGACAAGTAGCAGGGTTTCGTAGCGTCGCTAGGCGTAAATGTTCCTTCAACGTAAATATAACTATCAGCTATGTTTAAAATAAGATCTTGGAAGTTTATAGGGATGTGAACTATATCTGAATTCTTGAAATATGGCGATCCATATGGTTTGTATGTGTATTCTTGTAGGCTGTCTAATAAATGATCTATGATGTGTTCCTCAAAAACATCCAATTTCTCATTTGATACGTGTAGAACCATATTGTTTGATTAGTTTCAGCCCTATGGACTCCAGGAACTTGCGATTTTGCAGCGAAATATTCGATGCTGTGTCTTTGACGATGGTTGAACGACGATTAACGGAATTTCCACTGGTTATTCGTCTTTTATGATTGGTTGTACGACCTTTTTCTACATCATTCTTCAAATGATATATATCTAGGTTATATAGAAATCCCATTGTCTTCAGCTGGCACTAGACAGGCGTCGTCGCAGTTCTAATTTGACTATAATTTTTTCACCAAAATTTTTTTGACCAAATTCTCGACGTCATTCAAAATTTGCAGTGTGATGTTATCAATAAACTGGCGTCCACGCGGTTTAACGCTCATATATATTACATTCTGAGGCTCTTTTGTTAATTTAAATCCTGGTTCAACGTCTATATCAAACTCATACAAAGTGTGCATTTCAATGCCATTGCAATAAGCTCCTGATATTAATCCACAGTCGACTCTTATTATCCTGATGGGAGTTATGTTTACAGGTACTATAAATTCGATGTGTAGATTTTGTTTCTGGGAAAATTTTTGTTCTTAAATCCAAGCATAGTTGCCATAGAATTGGACAGAGCAATATCGAATACAGAATGGAGTTCACACTTCAAAGTATTAGTGTTGGCTTTCAAAGAGAACATTTGATCAACTTTGTTTTCATATCTCTCTTTATATGTATCATTCATTGATATTATTTCATGTTGTATGTATTTATTGATATCTTCGATTTCATAAACACCTTCAGGAAGGGTTACCACATTACTCTCGTCACCCTCATGAGTAAGAGATATTTTATTATGTTGATCATCAATATTGTATATGGTGTTGTACGAATAAAAGCCAATCAACCCCAGACCATATTCCGGACTTATATCCAACTCGATTGGAGGATAAAAATTAGCAGACAGTTTGCTAGTGTAACCCGTTAGAGTAAATGTGTTAGACATGACTGAAGACTTGATGAATGAGAACATGGTCTTATATAGGTAAAAAAATATTTATTGATTACAACAGTTGTTTGATTCAGATGTATTTTTAACATTGATATCTTGCATGTTACAGTAACAACAAAACATTTTTCTTGGTGACGGTCCATCTGCTTCATCATCACTCCCGCTTATTCCACGGTGTTCCCACCAGAATTGGAATCGCTGTATATCAGCGTCCTCCTTCAAATGCTCCGGCGGTTTGTTCCATACATGTGCTATTTCATTTGGCGTGCAGCATATAAGTACCTCTTTTGGTATGTGTGCAAGTTCATCTCGCGTCATATTCAACAGGCTTCTCTCCCTTGAAAAGGCTTTAAGAGAGTCTCTAATTTTTTTCAATCGTTCGTGATCCATTGTCTTCAGCGCTCTGATGTTTCTTCAGATAGAAATCGCAGACACAAATCACCACACCAAAACGTATTGAACTGTTGTTGTCGATTATAATTGTACAAGAGTTTTATCTTTTTCGACTTGTTGGTCAAATATTTGATTAGCTCCTTGGGTAGGCGTAGATTGCCGAAACTATCATAGTACCATACAACCATCCCACGTTTTATATCTGAAACCCAATGTGACCCATCCCCACTCTTGTTATCTAAATTAATTATGACTGATTCATTCTTCAGCGGACCCTGCTCGGACATTTCATCGCGCATAAATACTCCTTTGAAATATGGTATTTTTAGCTTCTTTTTTTGAATTCCTTAACTTGATGAATAACCCCAATCCTGTACGGTATGGTTTCAGAAAGAGACCATCCCCAATTCGATTCACATTAGAAGAAGGTGGTGAAGTGCCTTTATTTTGAATTTGCTCACGTACTGAACTAGCTGTTTTAGCAGCTCTTGTTATGTTGGCAATACCCCCGGCTAGACTACCTAATGCTGAAAGACCGGCAAAAATTGGTATCAATGGAAGTATGCGTCCAACCTTGGGAATAGGTATAACAAGTAATGCAGCGAAAGTCGCTTTTGCTAATACTCTCTTGTCTGGTTTACAGTTTGAGAACCTTTTCATGTGTTTGCATACGTTATTCACTATCTCCGATCCAAAGTGTACCTTTTTCTGTTATCTACTTGATTTTCTAGGGATAGCTTTTCTTCCTTTAGGTCCACGCCGTGATGCGTGTCCTCCCATACCTATACGACGTTTGACTTTCATAATACCCGATGTTCTGCGGATGTATTTTCTTCTACTCCGTCCACGACATGATGCTAGACCCATTCCTGCGTGACGTTTTACTTTGATGATATTAGCAACTAACCAAGCGGCAGCTTTTTCTCCAAGTTTTGCGTCTGGAGATTTGAATCTTTTCCAAGCGTCTTGCTCAAGTTGATAATCAGCAACGTGTCTCGCTGTCAAATCAGATTTCTGATATGCAATATCATGCTGTAAGCATGCAGCGTCTAATTTATTTCTGACCTAGGGCTAACCTTTTTTGAAGACGTGTCCCTGAACCGCAGAACTGGTAAGAAGGTAAGTGTACTTCGAATGGTAACTTATCTATCAGCGTATCGACAAAACCACCACCAGCAGCTTTTGGAGTGCTTTGACACCTTCTAATGGGAAGTAGTGGCATTTAAATAAATAAGACATACGCAATTGCAGTTTATATATGCTCAACTCGTTATACAATGAGGGTCACAAAACAGAATCAAGAATTATGTATCAGCAATATTGATACAAAAGTGGCGGATATACAAAACAATGCTATGCAGCGGCACGGAAGTCTCCCCCCATCCACAATCCGCTGTATTATTGTTGGACCATCGAACTATGGAAAAACCAACGTATTAATATCGTTACTGCTACTTGAGAATGGACTCTACTTTGAAAATGTCTACATATTTTCAAAATCAGTGAATCAACCGAAATATCAATTTATACAGAAATTACTAACTTCGGTCAATGGTTTAGATTATTATGCATTTAACAATAATGCTGATATCTTACCGCCATCGAAAGCCAAGCCGAATTCAATATTCATTTTTGATGACGTAATGACAGAAAATCAGACTTCTATTCTAGAATACTTGAGCATGGGTAGGCAAAAAGGTATGGATTGCTTCTATTATGTGCAGAGTTACTCCTGTGTGCCCAAAAGAGTAATAAGATACAACGCTAACCTAATTGTCTTATTCAAGGTGGATAACACACATTATCTCATGTTTTCTCCTATCATGTAGCACCTGATATGACCTTTAAGCCATTTCAAGACATTTGTGCAATGTGCTGGAGCGATAAATACGGATTCTTAGTCATCGATAAGGACAGCGAACTGACAAGGAAGGGGTTTGATAGTTTCATAAATCCACTGGAAGATTAAAGACACCATCAATCAATAGCGGGACTGCATCTAGTGCGCATCGCGGTGGATTAAAAGATAGCAAAATGAAACGGCAGCAGAATAACACCGAAGTGGCACTCAAGAAGGAATTAGTAGATGCAGCAGAGTCAGTTCGGAAGAAATTTATTGCTATCAAGAAAGGACGTGAATTTCATGATAGTGCATTGCAGCAGGTATATCAGCCCATTACTAAGCAGCTCAAAACAATAGCGGAAGCATCTACATCCAGCTTGTCGAAACAGTCAACACCCCAAATCGATAGTCCAAGCATCCTAAAAAAAGTATCATTTGATGAATCAAGAAAGAAATTATTTGATGCGACAAAATCAGGTGTAAGAAAAACTGAGTTGCTTGAGAACAGTAGTGAATTCAATGACCATACATTTGGTGACTTGACTCATACTAAACTTTCTACTATTGCCCCGATGCAAACGCAATCTGACACACATTCATTACTCGGAGCGCATGAAGAAAATTCAATGAGTAGATACATGTCTACTTCAAATCATAGTGAAGCATCCGGATCTTTGACCAACTTGATAATAACCATATATCTAATTTGAAAACAAACAATCCAGGGTATGGAGGCATATACAATGTGAGAATAAATCCACAGTCGGATAAGTTATTATTAGGCAAACTCCAAGTGAGCTTTGATATTGGTGGACGTTACCTGCTATTGGATTCTGAGAAGAAGAAGGAGAGAATAAAATATAAAATGTCTCCCGAATTACTCGATTTGATATTTTTGGACAAACTGGCTGATACAAAGAATTTAGACTCCCGAAACTTGAACACATTCAACAATAGAATGATTAAAACTAATGTACTTCGTAAAGCATATTGTTCTACATATGACTTCAGAAACGATGGAACTGAATATTTCGCTAAATTACTGAATATCATATCAACATCATCTCCCAGACGCCTTGAGATCGTCAGTGGGTCGGGGTATATATTTGAAAGCACCCAAATATAAAATATATAACGATAAGCAATATGAATATGTATATTGGAATAATATCAATGAGTTAATTGATAGACTGAGGCTGCTTATATAGCTCAAAAATGGCTGGGCATACAAACCACGATAATGAAATGATATCAATAATAGAAGAATTGCGTGAAGAGGGTGTTATACGTTGATTCGCATATATTTTTATTTGTCACATCACTTACAAATAATGCCTTCAATGCAGCGTGATGGCGCCGTTGACAAATTTGGACGTCGCGCGTCAAAATGGCATAGCGTACGTGGTATACCTGGCAACTAACTACTAATGGTGACTATGATATTGAAAAAAAACTGATGAAGAATGTTGGTGATCCTGTGCACAAAAACTATGCTGTGACTGTAAAGTATATTGAAGAAACCATGAATAAATTTGTAACCGAAATGGGTAAATTGATGCGACTAGCAGTTTCCAATGTATTAAGTGATTCAGTGACATACTGCAACGATGAGGTGCTGGAAAGTAAACGTGACTTTGACAAAAAGTTTAACGAGTTGACTACGATTTTAAACCTATCACTTCCATCTAAATAAACTAGATACCTGCAAATACAAGCTCATTCCATCAGGGTATTCATAGTAGTGAATATGTCTATCGTAAGCGAAACAAAACGTGGTATAGCCAAGGAGCTACATATGGCGGCTCGAAGGAATTTTCCCCACCGAGGAACTATCATAAAGGGTTTCGCTGACTTGTGGCAAGCTGATTTGGCTGAAATGCAATCGTTCAGTGAAGAGAATGATGGATATAGATACATATTAGTAGTTATCAATTGCTATTATAAGTTCATGTGGTGCAGACCAATTAAAAGGAAAGATATGGTAACCGTAACTATTGCAATGGATGATATTTTACAAACGACTACCCATCACCCAAAGAACCTACAAACGGATAATTGATCGGAGTTCTACAACGGCAAATTTTCCGCCCTGATGCACAAGTATGGGATTAATCATTATTCCACATACAGTACAAAAAAAGCAGCAATAGTTGAGAGAGCTATCCGATCACTAAAACACCTACTTTTCACTGAATTTTCAGTCAGGGGGAGCTACCGGTGGATCAATATCTTAGCAGATGTTACTGATTTTTATAACAACAGGAAACATCGAACGACAGGTGTAAGCCTCATCGAAGTCGACTTCCTTACACGATTGAATGTGTACAATCATCCAAAAGTAGCTGGAAAAGGGAAGCTTAAACCTGGCGATATCGTCAGAGTAAGCAAATACAAAAGTCTTTCTGAAAAAGGGGATACATCGAACTATTCAGCGGAGTTGTTTAAAATATACAAAGTCAACATTTCAAATCCAGTTACATACATGTTAGAAGACGTGGAAGGTTGTCCAATAAAAGGGTGTTTCTACGAGAAGGAACTAAGAAAAACAAAATTTCCAAATGAGTACTTGATTGAAAAGGTGATTAGGAGAAAGGGCAACAAGCTGTTAGTTAAATGGTTGGGATTTCCACATTATAACTCTTAGAAAGATATTAATGATGTATTGTAATCCTTTTCTGTTGGACTCTCAGTTTTATGTTTTGTGTTATATTTACGTAGTCGCTATATGTTCGAAATGGTTGTATCAATAAAAAAAATACAAATTCTCAAAATCTTGTTTTAATAAACTAACCTAGACACATTGATTTTTACATTCATTCAAAACCCCTGAACATACCATACCCACTTCACTCTCCCGCCACTGTTATCTTTCGTTTCAGATTCAGAGACCTGTTTACCTGTCCACAAGGGCAATATAAAAATGTTAAATCTACCTGCCTTTACGTATCCTTATTGGTTAGCATGCATACAAGAGGTTAGAACACGCCGTATATTTACTAATCATATTACGCCTCTAACCTACCGATTGATCGTTGTCCTGTTTGAATTCACCCCCTCCCCCCTGATATATGTGTGTGCTAGGATTCCACATAAATTCAGTCGCACCTGCTACGTTACACTAGTTGAGTCTGTTAGTACCAGCATATTTTATCCCCATAATCAATATCATTATGCAAGCAACCGCGAATAATCTAGATGACATTGCAGTCCTCCGTAATGATTTGGATGCAATTATAGCTGACCTGGTAGGTGACGGAATTCAACTGACTCAGATGACAACTGACATAGAACTCCAGGAGTTCATTCAAAATTAGACCTGCTGAAGCTGCCGTGTTGGAAAATACAATGGATAATCCCACAACAACACCGCTTCCAGCAGTGAAGGCTCACATCTCGCCTTCAAAATCGTTAAACCAGATGAAGCACGTAATTGAAAGAACAAAG